AAAGAAAGAAAGAAAGAAAGAAAGAAAGAAAGAAAGAAAAAAAGAAAAAAGTACATGAAGTTGTCAAAAAAAAAATGGTGTGGAGGTATGGGAGGTGTTGGAGGGGAGGGAGTGGGTGTGGATTTGATCAAAACACCTTATATACATGTATGAAATTCTCAATAAAGTTAAAAAATGTTTAAATTCCATCTATTTTATAATAATAATAATAATCACAATTATGAGGTGCTAACTACTGCTTTGACCAGCAATAACCAATGGTTCAGGGGCCCCAAGACCTTTAAGTGGCCCATGAAATAATTTTAAAAAATCCCTTCAAACTAGTACTAGAGAACATGTTTGCTTTTTTTAAAAAAATCTCTCATTCTTTTGTAAGTGCATAGTGGAATGTCCCAGAATCTGCAAGATGTGTGATAGTAACACAGGCTGAATGCAGAAGCAGACAGGTCATTGTTCTGTCTTTTCCTTGGGAAAATAAAAGTTATTTGGGGAAAGAGAGGGTGGAGGATACATGTGACATGAAAACGGAGGGGACTAGTTATAAAGAGGAAGGGGTCAGCAAGGGAGGGGCAGGAGTGAGGATGAAGAAGGACAGTACGGAGGGGGTAAAGAAGGCACAGGATAATGACGTCTGTATACAAAAGCCAAGCCATCATAAAATTATGTTAACTTAGGATATTCGTTTAAAAAATAGTTATTTTTCTACAAAAAGTTATGTTAATATATAGTGAATATTTATTATTTTTGAAAATTAATAAATGTCTATAAAGTTTTATATAATCTATGTAGACAAAACTTCAATGGGATCCTCAATAACTCTCAGGAGTATGAAAGGATATTGAGACTACAAGTTTGAGAACTACCAGGCTAGACAGTATCCTGAGGACTTGATAAAAAAATCATTAATTCTCAGGATTCTGGAGTAGGTAAGGCCTCTTTCTACTTCACAGATTAAAAAACAAAGGAAAAAAATCCTTATGTGTGAATAAGCTAAATGACCTGCCCACTTCACTCAGCTGGTAAAGGACAGAGCCAGGACTCAGTATCTGATCACCGGACAAGTCCTATACTCTATTGTATAGGCTCAACCCCAATAAATCTCATCTCAAGACAGATAATTTTGAGAATATTTTAGTTTCCTTCCTCCATCAAGGAAAGGGACAGATTTTTAACCTCCTCTGGATTGCCAACTCAGATTGATGCCCTGCAGGAAGTGCTTTGAGAAGGATCCAATGGATGCTTCAGAGTTCATCAGGAAAGGGATCTAGCTCAGAGTTCAGAAGGGATGCACAGCACAAGCCTACTACCAGGTTTCCCTGACCCATATCCAGAGCTCCACAGGAGGTTGTGTGCACCTGAGCAGTTGCTAAAATAGTGCAAAGAAAGTACATGAGTCCTGTTAACGGAGAGTAGCATACAGTGCTTTCCATGAACAGCTGGGTTTCTCTTACGATTTGGAGGAAAATCCAGGATGCTATTTGACAACCTTATGGATAATAAGAAACTAACTGCCATGAATTTAAAAGACTTTATTTATTCTAAAAGACATGGTTTCCCTCTCCCTGTAGCGCTAGCTGATCTGGAAATTTCCATATAGACCAGGATGGCCCTGAATTTATAGAGATCCATCTGCCTCTGCCTCCAAATTCTGGGATTAAAAATGTGTATCACCATTCCAAGCCTGTTTCCATTATTATTTTTTTTAATAT